TTACGATCCCGGAGGCTTCCGTCGCCGCGGCGTGAAAAGCGATCCCCCGCGCTCTTTCTCCCGCGGTCTCCGAATGAGAGATAACGCCCCCGCGTCGTGTCGCGTCGCTACGTTCGTTAGCCCCGGTTCTACATAACTTATTAATTACGGTTGACTAATGCTCTCCAGCTGTGGCACGCCGCGCCGCCGTTTCCTTCCCTGCTCCTTCTTTCCTCGCCCTTAGACTTTCTCCCGACGCTTTCACGCCGCGTTCCACCTAACCCCTGCCCGGGGTGAAAGAGAAAACGGAAACGAGTATCCAGGGCGTCTCGTTATAATCGGAAAATCAAAATGAAAGTTTGATATCGCGATGGCGTGTAAATTTCGAATGAAGCGCCTCGTACACATGTTTTTATGAACTCATCTTTTTATTACCTGGAACCCACCCTTGGTACACTTCCCACGAGACACCCGGTATGAGGAGAGAGAAAGCCGGCGGACGGGGTGCCGAGAAAGAGGAAAAAGGGACGCGGGGGAAGAGCCGATGAGGGGCGAAGAAGAAGAAGGTGGGACAGAAGAGAGTACAGCCAGGCAGTAACTCACGCCCCCGAGAGGATTACCTGCCTTGGCAAGCCTCCGGAGAGAGAGGAGGGTGTACCCTGCGTTGAGCTACGATCTTGCTGCGTAGCTACGCGTTTCTCATACCGGAGTGTCTCCGGGTTTACTCTCGTGCCTCGCCGGCGAACAGAGAGGGAAAGAGATAGTTTGAACCATGCGGCCGTGAAACGTTCGCGTTTCGGGCCCGGGACGCGCGCACCGGAAGCTCCGGCGAAACTTACGACGCGTATAGTACGCAAGAGGCTGACCTTCCCCGTGGCTCGTGTTTCCAACACTCGGACAGCGAAAGGTCTTCTAATTACGTTCACGATTTATACGGTTAACTTGAACTACGTTCGGCCGAAACAAGAATTCGTGGATACTGGGACACCGTCTGCTGTTTCCAACTTCCTCCGGTCCAATCTTGTGAACTGAACTTCGGTTTGAATTACATAGGGAGAAACGACTACTAATCTGAGCTTTTCAGCCGTCCAAAGTTTCGGTTCAATCTCGCATGAGACTAATCATAAAATGTAGTAGAATGCATTTGAGAATCATTGTTCTCCGTAGGAGAAAGTAGAATAACGAGGGTAACGGGGCGTAATTGGTATTGCATCACGGTCTGCCGGAGTTGATTTATACCCGAAAACTATGCAGGGAAATTGGCCGCGTTCAAATTGAGCCCGGGGTCCGACGGTGGTTGAATCGAGCTAACAAGAAACACGCGCCGGGGGCTTCGATTGATGCGGCCATCAGTAAAACCGTCTTCGAGGCTAAAACCCTCAAGGCACGGCAGCGGGGGTTGGGTTTCCGCGAGGCCTACGGGAAGAATCTATCTCTTGGGGTGTTCACCGCGGAAGGTCCTTCATGCTCCCGGCCAATTCACTTACTTTGATTTGATTGGCTCCCGCGTATGATCCGGTCGTGCCGCGATCCTCGCCAAGGGATCCGAAGACAAGGAAGGGCGTCTGGCATTTCGTGTTTTGTGAACCGCAAGAGTTATATACCGACGCTATCCCCGGCAGCAATCAACGTATTGGTTGTTCTTATTACAGTTGGCAACAACCAAGCCTTCCTCCCCTTCCGCTCTTCGGCCGTGTCGAACCTCCGTTCCAATCGAGGGAATCCCTCCCCCGATTCTTGGCATCGTAACCAATCGACAGATAAGACTAGTCACTTTTGTAGATTTTGTACAGTGAGATCGGTCACAAGAAGGATCTTGCTTTTCAAAAGTACTGCATTTAAAATGCTCTGAGAAATCAATCGCTGGCACATAAAACCGTCCAAGTGTTTTACGTTGTCCGAGGGCGAGGCGGATCTCCGCCCGGGGGTGGAAATTTCTAACGATATACGAGGAACGTGTTTTTTTTTTCTTTTTAAGAAAGCCGCGTGAATTACGATGGATATATTTTCACTCCAAGCGTTCCTCTTACCTACAGTAAAACCACCCCTCGTCCGTCTCCGTTGTCCTCGGCCCCCGGGCGAGATGCTCCTCGTTCCCCGGATGAAACACGTTTCACGGTCTCAGCATAAAATTTATCCACCCCCTTGGTTAAACAGGCACGCACGCCTCTTCTTACTTTTCCGAGAGCGTGCGGCGGATTCTCCCCCTAACTTCGTTTCACCCCGCGATATCCCACGAGGGCGTGCGTAAGCTTCGGCAGACGGAAGGGTGAGGATCCTCGATGGCTGACCGAGTTCGAGGGAAGAGACGGATCTGGTCCGATCGCGAACTTCTTTCTATCTTTCCACCCTTAAAGGAACGTAACCGATCGGCGGGACTTTTCAGTTCCGAAAGAGAAAGTTTAATTCCATCCGCGTTGGCCCATTCGTTCCCGAACGGAATAGAATCGAGCCGAGGAAGATGCAGGGTGGAGATAGCGTGGCGGAGGGTCGATGGAAAATTAAAGAAACCGTGGGGTAGGAAGGAAACGCAAAACAGCAGCGATGTAACGCAGGGAGGCGGGCGGCCGCGCCGAGTCTTGTCACATTTTCTACTTTGCGGAGACGTACGAGGTCGGCTTAATTGGCTAAAGCCCCGTTTTATTTATAAGTTCCGAGAGCGAGTCTATCGGCTTCCCACCCTCAGTACTACGAGGGAGAGATACGACTCCGTGGTAAGGGACGATCGCAGGGAGTTCGAGAGAGACGAGACGGTCCGAGACGACTCGGGGTACGCGTGACAAATAACCCTTATAAACGTTGCGTCGTAACTTCGGCCCTTCGCGGGTCCCGCTTGACAAGCCGAAATGAAAATCATGCCGATGTTGCGCCGCTGCGAACAGGGGCGGGCGACGAACGCGAGATGGGGTGGCGGAAACGGTCCCGGACACTTGATTACGTTGCGATAATATACATGATGCCGATATGAACTCTGCCGCCGCGCGGTGTTGCTCGTCTGCGCGAGATATTGTGCAACAGCCAACTGGAAATGATCCAGTATATATTCGATAGCTGTTGTTGTTGTTTCGCGTGCGCCGGTCTGTTGATCCGCGCGGATACGATTGTAAAACGGCGCGTTTATTGCCCGTCCCGTTTCCAATCGTACCTTCCTTGCCGCTATCTTTTATCGAGGAACGACACTAGTCGTCTTTTGAAAACGATCGACGAGATGAAAATCGAATCTCAAAATCCTTTTGTTATTATAAAACTCATTTTTCGCCGATTAAATAAAGTCTCTTAGTAGAATTAATATCGAAGTTTATCGCGTAACAACCAGGCGAGTTAAACGGAATTAATTGTCCCGACCGGAAAAACCGAGGAAGGGTGCGAAGGGTTGCTGCGTCGAACGGTGGAAATCGTATCGCGGGAGGACCGTTTATGTAGTTCGATATAAAGCGTATGCGAGCAAAAGGCGCGCTGCTCACTGTCCGAGGGTTGCTTTTGGCCCGGCAGAAGTGAAACCGGGAGGGTTTTTACGAGGCAGTAACGGCCGATAAGGTGAGCTCGCGCCCCCACAGGCCGGGTTTATTCCGGTACTGTACCCAAGCGACTGTTCGACGACGTTACCCGTATCCCGTTGTCGTACAAGCTCTTACTTTCTCTGCCGATGCGGTACTCGGCTCTATCTGAAACCGTTTACGCGCCTCGCCGTTTTCTTCTTCTCTAAAGTCCCTGCCGCCAAGAAGTTATTCCGACGTTATCGGGAACGTTAGCCGGGATTTTCGAGCTCCTCGCAGCCGCTGGACGTCTGGCGCATCCTTCAACCAGCATATGTATTCGCTGCTCCGGGACGAAGGGATTCCGTGGCGTGTTTCAAATTGTAATTCGGCGTAAAATTTGTAAATAGGAGCTTAGGTACACCGATAGACGAGTTTGATTTAAAGATGTATAGGCT